GACTTGTTGAGAACAAGTGCAAAAGTTACTAATTTCTCTCCTTCCTCCTATTCTTAAAACTTAAACCTTTTATTACCTTTGTTCTCTTATTTACTTAAAACTTAGTCAAGTAGGTGCCAGTAGGTTGCAACACATGAAACTTACTGTTTTTGTCAACTCTGAGTGGAATTTTTATGCCGTTGTTATAACTTGTGTTTTATGCATATAATAATTGTTATTAATGTTTGTATGTTTATTCTTGTCATATATCTAAAATAAATTACTTTATTTTGAAAAATCTGACAAGACCACAAGTTCTTTTCACATTCATGATCAGAGGGGTGTTTCATTATATCTGATTTCATTTCTTGCAAGATCTTGTGGAACACGACTTTTATGAGATTAAGCTGGTATTAATCTCATGGAGCAGGGTTCTTACAACAATTTATTGATTTCATCATCTGCAGTCTGTAATATGTAAAGATTCAGAGAGTCTGGACAAACCTCTTGAAGTAAGCAGCGATGCCGTGACCTTTGACCCCTCCTGCATTAAAAACCCACATCGTTGTGTAACCGATATTAGCACAAGGGCTCAGGAAAACTTAAGAAAACCATCGTCCGTGAACACAGTTCATCTCTACAAGTTAAAGCTCTATCATGCAAAGACAGTCCAGACGAGCCCACATTTCTAACCCCTCATTTACACTACACGTGTTCCGGCTCCGCTCCACTGCGGTCCGACCTCCACAGGAAATACTCAATGAGAGTGTTCACACTGGCTGCGCACGGCGCCGGTGAGCGGACGGTGATCCAATAGGAAGAGGAACGGGCACAACATCCGTATTTTCAAAATAAGACTCTATTCGGTGGAATAGTTTTTTGCAGTAATGTCAAAATTGCAGCTATATTAATAAATATACGGATATATTTCCACACAAATGCTGTCAGAATGTATCGTTCTGTTTGGGAAGCAGATGGAAACGTAGATAAAGCATATGTGTACACATACGATACACATGGATTTTATTTTGAAATCAGAAGTTTCAAAAGGACGACAGTGAGACAGTTTCAACCATAGATATGAAAAAACTTTGTTTTCAGCTGTGTTTGGAGTTCGTCTTTCACAGAATTAATTATTTTTTGCGCTGACTTCCACATCACTGGATTTATTGTGTGATCTCCTTCCTGCACTCCCTCCCTCCTCTCTGTGTCGGAGCGGACGCTGTGTAAATTGGGGCACAAACAAACAGCTGCGACCTGCGCACCGCAGCGCAGCGGAGCCGAGACACATGTAGTGTAAATCCGGGGTAATGGTTCTTGGAAATCATGAACATTAAATATCTGTAGTGGATTCGGTTGAAAAGAAATTTGCAAACCATCGTTTTTAAGTTTTACATAACGTCCCAGCCTCATTGGAACTGGAGTTGTCTGCGCAGTATTTATGTAAGAAGTTATAAATTTGTTTCAGTCCTCTGAAACTAAAGCTTCCTGTTTCCTGTTTTCCAGTCCTTGCTGCTGATCCGTCAGGAGATGGTGGTGTCCCAGAAGAAGCTGGGCGACTTCTGCGAGGCTCTGAAGCAGTACCTGAAGAACGTCTCGGCTCAGAGGGACTGCTTTCAGTGAGTTTACCTCTGCAGGAGGAGAGAGCTGCACCCTCACACCAACTCCTCTTTGTTTCATCTTCACGTCTGAGGGTTGTCTGGAAACCCCACGCATTCAGATCAGAGAGAAATAATGCAGAGAAATCATCTAGATCCAGATGTTGGAGCAGCTCCCAGTCAGAGAAACTCATCAATAGATTTCATCTGAATCTGTCAGCCTGAATTAAGACTTTAAATCATGTTTGAATCCTGGTTCGAGGAGCAGCTCCACGTTTTGGTGACGAGCAGGAAATAAACGTTTATTTTCTCGTCTGACGTCTTGTTTCGTTTTCCGCTCTGTCCTCGTCTTCCCGTGACGGATGTTTCTTCCTCTATCTGTAACTCATCTCTCCTCATCTACCTCCTTCTGCCCCTCCCTCCACCACAATCAAACCCCTCTTCCTCTCATCTGTGTGGTCTTCCTCGTCTCATCTTCATCCTCTCATCTTCCTCGTCTCTCCTCTGCCGCAGCGTGACCGCGGTGCGGCTGCCCGACGGGCTGTCCTTCGTCGTCTACGAGTTCTGGGACGGAGAGGAGGAGTGGAAGAGGTGAGTGATGGTATTAAAAACGTAGTGGGGTTGTGTGAAGTGGACGTGAGCAGTCAGTATCTTACCTGAAGCAGATGGTGGTCAACCCAATCAGAAACTCTATTATTATTTGTAATTTTTATATTTTTGTATTATTTAACTTTTAAGAATTCCGTAAATCTATGAAAACTACTTCAGCGTACTTTATTTTTGCCGCCTTTTGCTTCTTCTGATCTGTTTTGATTAGTTTTATTTTACCTACAATTTTGCTCATTTGATCTTTCAGGTTTGTGGTTATTTTTTTTAATCTTTAATTTTACTATTTTTAGCTTTTAAGTAGTTGCTATAGTGGCCATCGTGTGGTGGGCCCAGTTCTCTAATCTGCTAATAGCAGAAATAGCTTCTCGTTTAGCTGATTAGCCTTTTTGCTAACTTTAGAAACCGTTATCGGAGCTAATTTTAAGTCCAATAAAACTTCTATTCTTTTTTTTCTTCTATTCTTATATCATTTATCCAGAATTTAATAAAAATGATCCCCTCTTACAAGCAGGGCAGGTCGTTTCAGGCACCGTGTGTGTAGCATGTAGCATCTTTAGCAGCTAAACTTCAAACTAAGAGCGTCAAAAAAAGAAAATAACATTTAACTATATTTCAATATCAAAATTTGACTATTTATAAGATATGATAAAGTATTTGCTATTTGACCAACTTTAAACAGTATTTAGAAAAGAGCAATCTCGATCAAAAAATGCTTTTATTCTGAAAGGGGTAAAACTAGAAGTATCACAAGTTAGACAGAGCTATAACTTTGGTTTTGATTGGCTGATTTGCCACAGATGATCCCGCCCACCTTTAAATTAAACCAATAGAAAACTAACAGGTTTGTGCCAGTCCCACCAGTCCTCAATTAACAGTCATCTTAGCGGTTAGCATTAGCTTCAATTATTTTATTTATCTGTTTAGTGTTAGCTAAGCTAAGATCCTTGTTTAGCTGATTAGCGATTTGTGAAGCTAACGTTTTGGTTAGCTGTGCCCACCTAAAGTGACAAAATCTTTTAGTTTGAATTGTTTTATTTGGTGTAAAGTCTTACTGCAGGTAAGATACTGACTACTCAGAACTAATTTTATTTATGTTTAGCGTTGGGTGAGCTAAGATTCTTGTTTAGCTGATTAGCAGTTAGTGAAGCTAACTTTTTAGTTAGCTGTGCCCACCTAAAGTGACAAAAAACTTTTGTTTGAGTTGTTTTATTTGGTGTAAAGTCTTACTGCAGGTAAGATATTGACTACTCAGAACTACTTTTATTTCAAAGCAAGAAGAAGAATAAAACGTGCTGAATGAGGAAAGTTGAGTTCTGCAGGATTATTGATTTCTGGCTCCCCTGAATTGGTTTCCATTGATCACTAATAGACAAATAAAGAACCCGCTCACTTTTCTTCCATTAATGTTTGCTGGACGAATTCCTCCTCCTACATTTAATCAGTGATGGTGGGCACGAGGCGAAGCTGCTGATGAAGCTGATCGGACTTTCTGCTCTGCTGCTCGCAGCGTCTGGCTGCCATTAATATTTCAGGTCTTACAGTAAAAGCTGCGGGCCGTGCTAACGACTGCGCACAAGAGCGTGCACGTTCTCACCCCTTCCCTCTGACTGCAGGCACCTCCAGTCGGCTCCTAACAAAGCCTTTCAGCATGTGAAGGTGGACACACTGTGCCAGCCCGAGGCCGTGTCTTCTGTCGCCGTGCCAGGTCAGTGAAAACACAAACTCTTCATCCATCCTGTAATCCTGATCTGCTGGCTTCAAAGCTGAATTTGACTAAAAGTCCAGATTATTATTACTACGTTGTTTTAGACCAGAGATTCTTAACCCATGGGCCGCGGCCCAGAATTGGGCACCACCTCGATGGCCTCAAAAGAACAACGGTTTTTAACTTTGGGCCGCAGAGGACCGCATTGATTTTGAATAAGGTGTAATACACTTTCTCACCACTAGTAGCAGTAGTGCGCCACTCAGATGTTTAACAACTTTTTTAATACGTAGAAGAAGAATGGAAACATATTTTAAATGAAAAGTAAAAGCAAAAATGACGAGAAAAAAAACCCCGTCAAAAAAAGCCAAAGTTTGTCACTAATATGAAGAGCAGCTTCTGGTTCTACCATGAAATATTTTAAAAGTTCAAAACATTATCAAAAACATTTCCAGATACAGCTATATTTTAATTTGCACTTTATCAAATTAATTTTTGTAGTTTATTTTTAAACATTTTGAATGTATTTTAAAGAATCTTTAAACTTGTCAGAAAGCTGTTATTGTCATTGTTTGTCACTAATATGAAGAGCAGCTTCTGGTTCTACCATGAAATATTTTAAAAGTTCAAAACATTATCAATTATATTTGCAGATACAGCTATATTTTAATTTGCAGTATATCAAATTAATTTTGTAGTTTATTTTTAAACATTTTGAATGTATTTTAAAGAATCTTTAAACTTGTCAGAAAGCTGTTATTGTCATTGTTTGTCACTAATATGAAGAGCAGCTTCTGGTTCTACCATGCAAAAGTTTAAAAAGACTAGTTTTTCATTTGCACTTTATCAAATTTATTTTTATTTGAAACGTTTACATTGAACATTTTGAATGTATTTATTGTATAC